GGGGTCTACGGTGTCCTTCAGGTGGGCCAACACCAGTCTTTCAACGGACTTCATAACTACAGATGTCAGGGCGACAGGTCTGTGGTCGTTCAGTCCACTGATGGAGGTTTTCTTAGGGACTAGAATGATGGTGGAGCGTTTGAAGCCGGAGGGGACTTCTCACAGCTCCAGTGACCTGTTGAAAATGAGTGTGAAGATGGGGGAAATTCATCAAATACATCAAATTCAATTATTCTGAATTCAAATATTAGGCTGTGAGATGAAAAGAAATCTATGCTTTGAGTAGTATTTCTACCACTAGATAACTGATATTTATGCAAACAATGCTATTTTTTGTAAGGTAGAATCCACCTGCTCCCTAAACAGGAGCTGATTCAAGCTAATGCTATGTAGCAAGCATGAAACTTAAGTAAAGAAGTGGCTGAAAAAACAAAGTAATTTAGTGTACTAACCAACATTTAGTGTTCTAAAAAGGGCCAGAAAAAGAGCAGACAGACCTTAGCTCAATGGTTTGCTAGTCAAAATATCTGCTGTGACAAGGTCACAGGCTGTGTTGTTGTCTTTTGGATCTGTAATTGGGAATTTTAATGTTAATGTACAGACTAGTGAAACTTCCAAAAGATATTCCCTCACTGGTGTTTGGATGATGGTCGTGCAGATGCTTTCTAACACATTGGTCCAAAATCTCCCACAGTCGTTGAAACTGCATTGGTGACTTTGAAGGTCACAGCATATGATTCACATCATTTTTGTACTCATCAAACCAGCGACCCCTTGTTTCCTGTGGGTGGGGGAGTTGTTGGCCACTTCCATCAGTTTTTTCCTTTAATTTGTCACCTGTCTGTATCTGTATGTTGTCAAATAGCTCTTCATTCCCTTGTCAGTAAAGATGTGAAATGTGTCTGTGTTTTAATTAGATAAGACTAAAGATGTCCATACCTTTATTAGTGTCTTTGCTGTTTTAAAAATACTGTATATCACTACTTTGCTTCATGTATCAATTTGTTCAATTTATACTAATGAAAATAAAATACTGTAGCAAGTACTGCTGCATTAATTAGCTCTAATAAGAGTAAAGGTCCTGAGCTCTCAATTTATAAACTTGCAGAAACTATTACATCTTCTGTTTGAGAAGCTGAGCTTCACGCATGTAACAGCTCTACTGGATTATTTTAGTCAGGTGTGCTGAGTGCCAGTGCCAGACAGGAGTGATGAGACATCTCTCATGAAACACCTCACATTCACAGTTAAACCTAAAACACCAAGGTCTTGATTAATTGTTTATTGTTTTCATTAAAGACCTTGTAGACACCTTAAACCTGTGACTTCAGTTATTTTTAAAACATTGATATGAAAATTGTCATGTTCTGCTAGAGATGCCTAATTATGAAGAAAAATTGCTAATACTGAATTATAATTCAAAATCTTTTCAGATGTTGGAGGTTCAGGGGGCGATACTATAAATAGTGAGCCAGACCTCAAAACTGCATGCCAGAGAACTCGAACCATTCATTATACAGAACTTTTTTTTAACTGATGAAGCATCAGGCTGTCTAGTGATAATCTTTAAGACACATCCCCGACGGGCAACCTGGATGTGGTCTCTTCAATTCCTGGATTTCCAGACTTACTGTATGTGTACTGGCATTGTGTAGTGTATGGTTTAGTGTGTGTTGATATCAGCATTGTACATTTCAAGAGTAAGTTTGGTTTGGGGGATCCTGGACATTTTGATCAGAGATGGGACTTTGACAGTATTTGCTTGCGCAGCTGCAGCACCACCAACAACCAATTTTAGAGCAGTGGTGCTGATGAGAGAGAGCGTGCCTTCAGAATAAAGACTGACAAGACACGTGGCCAATTGTTAACAGAGGAGACAACACTGTGAGCCAATCGTCTCCAGCCCCCCACCCCCCCTACCTGGGGCTTATAGAGTATAACGGAAGTGGAGGGAGGGGACAAGTAGGAGGGCAGCAGCTCAGCAGTTTAAGAGCATGGGTGGGAGCAGTGCAGACCATACAAAGCTACTGCAGCAGCCTGCAGTATCTACCATCCAGCTCTGTAGCCTACATTGAGTGCTCACCAGGACCTAGTCCATTAAAATAGGAGAGGCCTGGCTGCTTGCTGTGAGTACAGTTACTGTGGGGCCATGCCTGAGTGCTGGGATGGGGTGAGTAGCAGGGAAGAGTGAGTGGTGCGTACAGAGCCTAATTTATAGAGCGAGTTTGAGCCACTGTGTTTGACAGTATTATTATTCTGAGCAAACCTTTCTGGCAATCCTGTTACAATAATAATGTGGAATAAGTTTTGTTTTTATATTGTATATTGAGAAGAAGAAACTGCAGCATCAGTGTGGAATAATGGGTCAGCCTTTGATACTGACCCACTGACACATTTATGTGCACTAACATATGTGCTATGCAATGCACAGGTACAAATACCTTTGCTGATAAGCACACTAGCATGTTTGTGTGTGGGTGTGCATGGTTTTATAGATGAATTATTAATCCTTCTGTAGTATCATCCATTCTGGCAGCCTTGAAACATGAGTTAGGATGTGTATGTGAGGCAAGCAAGAGATAACAGAGAGAATGAATGATTATTTGATTCGGGCAGCTGTTTTTGTTTGCTTATGTGGCCGTTTGTTCGTCTGTGGTAGTCTGCTTCATAAAATAAAATAACACTAATGAAGTTGTCGTGAGATGCTGTTTTATTTTAACTAAAAGTTGGAACCACACTCCCAGAGATATTCTGAATTCCCATCAGTGTTTTCCTCCTGTATGTCTGAAGGTCATCAGGAGCATGTGTAACATGTCTTCTCATATTTACCAGAATCAAGTCACAGAACACAAAAGGTCAACAATGCTCCATGCTCACATTCAAATGCTGATGGCAGATAACACTGATGTTGAAATGATAGAGAGATAATCCGGTTGTATTACTATCTGCTGCTGGGGGTGGATTATGTAGAATTTAGCAGTTGGCTTCATTGGTATCCACTGTTTGTTTCTGTACTGTACTGTGAGTCACTTAGAAGTTATTTAAATCACTCCACAGTGAATATGTATTATGTTACAAATAGCAGGCTGCTACAGAGAGATGCTGGTGATTGACAGAAGCAAGATGGCAGGATCTACAGTCGGCTGTTTCTCTCTGTATTTCTAATTTAAAGGTGTGAAAACAAGATGAGTGTTTGGTGGGGGTTATAATGAGGACATGTCAGTGTGTGCGGGGCCTCTGTTTGGCTTAAAGTGGAATATACATACAGGAGTGTCAGCATAACCTGTAAGGGCTTCACTGCAGTTTACTACCTAAACCAGGCAGGATAATCCCAAAACGTCATTACCCTGTATTGTGTAGTGTGTGTGTGTGTGTGTGGCCTTGTTTTTCTATACTTGTGGGGACATAAATCTGGAAGCATCACTCACGGGGACCAGCATTACTTGTGGGGACCAGAGGTTGGGCCCCACAACATTGTTTGTCAGATTTTACACAAACAACATGTAAACTTAGAGCAAGTGTTGGCTTTGGTTAAAATTAGGATAGGGTAAGGTAAGCAGAGGTTTGGGGGTTAGGGGTACGGCTTAGTGTAAGTCTCCCAGACATACTGTAACTGTAAATCTGTGTGGGGACCCAGTAATTGACAAAATAAAGGATGTGTGTACAGTGTGTGTGTGTCTGTTTGTGGCTGTTTGTGTGCCTGCAATGCGCAACTCATAAAAACACATCACACTTACTGTACCTCCATTTTGCATTTGGCTGTCTCTGACCAGTGAATGCTGACAAAATGTGGATTTGACTCATGAATTACTGCAGAACATGTCAGGTAAAGTCCATCCATGTCAAGTAATTTATTGTAGTCATAACTCACACTAACTAAACTGATCCCTATCCACTGCTCAGAAACCAACACCTGCATCATGCACACTTAGGATTAATGAAAAAAACAATCGTGCATTGGTGCCCAAGGAGCATTAAATGAACTTCAGTAAAAAAACTGAGTCTTAGAATAAATAATGTTGAGGCATATTGATGTGTCACGTCTTACACTGTGAAGCACTTGGGATTATGGGTCAGTGCGGTGTGTTTTATCTCCTCCTTAGACAAGTCTGATCTGGGGGGATTTAGATGCAAATGCTCTTACAAAAACAAATTTTTGTATGTGAATCGCCAGGTGAGAATTAATATTTTTGTCTATCATAGGAACATGATGTTGAGACCCCTCATGGGATGCTGCATGTGGTAATCCGTGGGGCACCTAAAGGAAACAAGCCTGCTATCCTCACCTACCATGATGTGGGATTGAACCGTGAGTATCTGTAATTGTATGTCTGCACCTGTGTCAGCAGATGTTTCACGCTTTTCAGTGTGGTGTTTCTGCACTTATCAAAGGTGCTAATTGGCATCCATTCCACATCTTTCCTCCATTCCTTCACTCTGCGACAGTAGCTCACATGTACATGCAGACACACAGTAGCACTTATCATTTTCACCAGGAGGTTTGTGTCACCACTGTTACAACTATACAGATTGTTAAAAGAAACAAACTTTTTTAGAGTGTACATAATTTCGGTCTGGTGTTTTATCAGGATCTTATGAAGCATATTTGCCTACATGGAAAAAGTCATCTTAAAATCAATATAATCAAAAAACACACTGGTTTTATAAAATTTTTGCATAGGTAACATTAGGTAATGGTACACAAAAATCATCTGTCATATGCTGAAGTGTAAGAGCCAAGTGTTGACTGTCATCATATTTATGTCATTCTATAAGATGCCCTGCATGCCAGCTCCTAATACAGCCTGAGTGGTCAACAATTTAATTAGAGGAGGGATAACAACATAAGTCCATGTGCAGAGGAGAGCAAGGGTGTGTGTGGAGAGAAGCAGAGGAGATGAAAACCGAATAAAACATTGAGAGATAAACAAGGAGACCAAGAGGCAACAAAGCTTCAGGGTGGGTTTGTGTGGCATTGAAAATAGAAAAGAGGAGGAGATAAAGAGGCGAATGAGAGCGTGAGTATGAGAGGCATTGATGAAATGTGGGTCAGAAAAACATCCCCAGGAATGGGGGAGAAGGAGGCGGGGCAGGGCCAGCAGCACTGCAGCGCAGCCTTGATGGACAGAGGTGAGATAGGGATGGTGGGGGATTTGGAGGATAGCGTGTTATGAACCAGAGCAGATCCACAGCTCTGCTTACTGCTGAGATGACTGCAGATATCTGGCTTTTGTTGTCTGTCTCGCTGCCTTTTAAAAAAAAAATCATTATTAACCTTATTATTCCTCTCATTTAGAGTGGAGTAGAGTAGGTACTTTATTGATCCCACAGTGGGGAAATTTCTGTGTTACAGCAGCAATAAAGAACAACCAACATAACACCATAAGTACAGACACATAAGAACAGAACTTCACAGAAACATGGAAAAGAACACAACGAGGACACTGCTGCTGCAACTTGCTGCAACTTGCTGCCACTCTGCGCAGTGCATGCGTACGTAAGTACGTAGTAACAAAGAACACTTAGTCTTAAAATAAAAAGTTACATAAAGGCAACAAAGCATTAGGACCGATATGCACAAGGATTATAAAAGTAGCATCATCAGAACGTTACATTTTACACAACACAAATAAGCTAATCAAAGGCACCTAAAACAGGGCAAAACAGCACTAGAGAGAATCAGGAACAGCAGTAGAGACTAAACAACCAGGAAATCAAGAACAATCGAATATTACTCACACAATTAATCCCACAATGGGGGAGAGAAGGATCAGCCATAAGGATCTCTGAGCAACTACTCAAAATACCTAAAGCAGGGCAATGTACAGTATTTGAGAGAGATCAGGAACAAGATGTTACACATGAGCCTATTTACAATGTATTTCACCCCCAGGAGCTGAAGTATTGCACCTCAGTAGATTATTACATAGTCCCTCATAATTTCACCTACCTTATCACTGTAGTGATGTGTTGTACAGTCTGATTGCTGTGGGGAGTCTCTTTCTGTCCCTGACCGTGCTACCTCCTACCCAACCCAAAAAAAACAGCAGATGCCCCTACAGTATCATAAAAAGTCCAAAGGAGTGCCCCACACACACCAAAGGACCTCAGTCTCCTCAACAAGTGGAGGCGGCTCTGGCCCTTCCTGTACAGGGCATCTGTGTTGTTGGTCCAATCCAGTTTATTGTTGAGGTGGACACCCAGGTATTTAAAGGTGTCCACAATCTCAATATCTGAGCCCTGCAAGCTCACCGGCGTGAGTGCTGGTGATTTCTGCCAGGGGTCAATCACTATCTCTTTTGTCTTGCTGGTGTTCAGGACCAGATGATTTTTCTCACACCACTCCACAAAGTCAGTAACACCCCCCCTGTATTCCCCCTCGTCCCCCCCAGATACACATCCAACAATAGCAGTGTCGTCTGAGAACTTTTGTAGATGACACTGGTGGGAGTTATACTTGAAGTCCAACGTGTAGACGGTGAATAGAAAGGGGGAAAGCACCGTCCCCTGGGGTGCCCCTGTGCTGCCCCTGTGCTGCAGACTACCACATCTGACACAGTCCCACAGCCTTACAAACTGAAGTCTATTTATGAGGTAGTTAATGATCCATTCAGACAGGTGTTGGTCCACACCTGCCCCCTCCAACTTCCCCCTCAGTAGTGATGGCTGGATTGTGTTGAAAGCACTGGAGAAGTCAAAGAACATGACCCTCACAAGACTTCCGGGGGACTCCAGGTGAGATAGGGCTCGATGCAGCATGTAGATAATAGCGTTGTCTACCCTGATGCCAGGTCGATATGCAAACTGCAGCGGATCCAGCGCTGAGCTCACTTGGGCACGGAGGTGGCCGAGAACAATCCTCTGCATGGTCTTCACATTGTTCCTCCTGAATTCGAGGTTCAACTATTGGTCGAATTCTCCTCTCCAGTACCATGGCATAGACTTTCCCAGGGAGGCTGAAACTGGAACTCTCTCCAGACTAAGACTCAGATTAAACATGTACAAGACCACTTTACTGAGCTGGTCTGCACACTCCCTGAGGACCCTGGGGCTGATGTGGTCAGGGCCTGTGGCCTTCCTGGCTTTAATCGTCCTTAACTCCCTCCTGACATGGTCCACCGTGAGGCTGAGGGGACGGGTGGGCGGTGACTGCTCAGGAGCTGTGGGCTGTTGGGAACCCCCCATGACAGTCAGAGGAGGGGCAAGGTCTGGCTGAGGTGTGAGCAGCTGCATCTGCGAGGGGACAACTGACCTGGAGAGGTGAGATGGGGGGGGCTGGCACGGTGGGGGGTAAGGACTTTGTAGAGTCAAATCT